ATTATTTCGGTCTTTATTGCATTTCAGTTGTTGTATTAATCAGGAATACTGCTGTTCTGTAACTGATTCAAAATTGATGTTGGAAGGCATCCAATTTGAAATACACATTTATTATGGAGAGGTCAGTATCCACAAAAGTAGATTTCATTCAATTATTTTTTCTAAAAATTTTAGAAAAAAATACAACTTAAGATGCTTCTTAAAATGATGCGAATCATCTTTACCATGGTGTCGCTCAAAAAGGATAGTTGGTCCAACCCTTAGATGGTTACAGCATGGTACTTTTGAATAGGCCAAGCATCACTAGACAGTCATGGTTTATGTAATAGTCTTTACTAAGGGACTGTGCAATAATAAACGTTTTTCAAAATTTTCTGGGGGAGGACCAGACTCCCTTAATACTCCTGCCTTTGGCGTTCGTTAGATCCCTGGATCGAAAATATATGTCGCGGTCCCTGACATGTGCGGCCAGCGGGTACCTGGGAGAAATATATCTGTTCTTATGTCCCAGCCAGCTGTAAGTCACGACTGACTGGCAGCGAGAAATTCAGGAAAATAGAACTCTTCAGACAAGGAATGACTTTCTAAAAAATTTACCAGGAAAAAATATAAATTTTCTAAAAAAAATCGGTGTCTAAACGTCAGGCAGTCGAATTTTTTCTTAAAAAATCGTCAGAACAATCGTAATTTCAATTAATACAACAGGGGAAATGCAATAAAGACCGAAATAATACTGTTCGACAAGTTTCAAACACAAGCACGGCATTTTGAGATTTTTGGCACACAAATCGTCGGAACAACCGTAATTTCTGCATCACTTCTACTGGAGGTAGATTGAAATACTCAATACTCGTTTGTCTACTCCTATTATTTATTTTTAGGATTAAAATTTATTACATCATTGACAGAAAAGGAAGCAATTACCCTAGTTCATTATGACAACACATCAAAACATTCTATTGTTTTAGTGCAAAGGATTATGGTCGCCAGAGGGGATCGGAGTGACTGCATATCAAAAAAATGTACGTGAGCGACTATTTATAGATGATATATATCAAAACACGATTCATTGAAGTTCGAAGTCTAGGAGACAACATAAATGGATCCAAATTCCCACTGTTTTTGAGCATCTGTTTTATGTACACATACTGTGAGTCATAATGAAATAGGACAATTCAATGATTTAGCTGAAGAGGAACTCAATTTCTTCCTCGCTACTAAATCTGTAATAATAGCATAGCGTTGCGCTGCTATCTGATTGGTTAACTTAACCAAATTAAGCATCGATATATCACAGCGGCTTTTAAAGCGTGCACTTACATTTTAAGTTGTTTAGTGGCTAAATTAGCCATTAAATATAAAAAACACTGACCATTGCACTAACGATAAAATATAACGTAAATTTCATACAAATCATACACTGAACTAGTTTTCGCTTAAAGGTCCAGTTTGCACCATTATGCTTTGCGTGCCTCTGTTATTGTTATGATTTACATACACCGAGATACTTCTATTATCCAAATATCACCATAAAACGAAGTAAGATGGTTGAAAACTCCAATATTAACAGTGCTTAGAAAAGTGAGATGCTCAAAGTTTCGAAACACACAGTACAATTTGACTTTTGGTAAACTGAAAATGTCTCCCGAGGGCCCCAAAGCATAATGGTGCACATGGGCCTTTAATAGCCGGTAACATATTGTAAACAAATCATTTGTACTTGTTATATTGTTCCTTATTGATTTTTTATATCTAATGCATTCCATACTAAAAGTATGTATTGTGCATGCCTAACTGTTCAATTTATATGTGTACATGGGTACCTACTGTGTCTTCACAAGAATAAACCCATTCATTGACAAGAAGGATAGTATTATTTTATTAACCGATATTATAATCTGTTTTACCAGTCTCCAGTACACTTGAGGACACGTGAGAACATTCTAAGGTTAAATATTTTGGAAAAATTTAGAAGTCTTTATTCATTTTTTCACAATTTTGACGATTCAAATTGGCACGTACAATTTTCATCATTTTTCCGAATTGCCACGTCCCTTTATATTTTCCTGTCACGAATACGCCATTTTTTCTCAATTTTTAAAATGCGTACTTTTTCAAATATTTTCTGATAAAATCTATTTTTGACGATTTGTTTCTCTGGTAGTTTTTTTCATATAGTTTCGAATATTAAGTATAATTTTTACAAGCAAATCAAAACAAGATGTCAATCAATTTTTTCCACAGATAAATATATTCCAAATTTTACAATATGTTCGAAGTAATAATAACTTTTTGGACTCATATTTTAAAGATATTGACCGGTGATTTTGTCAGATTTTATTTTTGGGACATGTTAAGATATGAGGATAGATATTAATAATCATATTTTTATTTGTCTCTAAAAACCGGGATTCATGAGTACATGAAGCGTTAACATAAGCAGTACTTTTCTGGAATGATTTTCCAGATCTATCAACTTTACGATTCTGACAAAATATTGTATTTTCTAAATGTGTTTTTAACTAAAATAATTTTTGGTATATTGCGTATTTTGACATTCTGGATTATCTGCTTCAAATCATTGCAAAGTTAAAAAATAACTTTTAAAGATGAATTTTGACTGAAAGCGATTTTGGAAAAATAAAGGATCTGCGGGTAATGTTGATACCTTTCAAGTGAAATTTTGTCATTTTGTCTATCTTACTGATATCACAAATAATAGAAAATGCAAACTTTAAATTGTCCTTGCCTGTACTGGAGCTTGTTTTTTTTAATGGTGCATTGTGAATTGCAGATTACATGTAAGAACTAGTGGATGGATTTGGCCATTCAAAGTACTGTGAATTTATATTTGGCATCCATAAAGTTCCATTCTAAGTATCATGTGGTTATGGTATGTCTTTGGAAGAAGTCTGATATACCTGGCAGTTATAGCAGGATCAAGGTTATTTTTCACAACCGTTGTTTCATCCGAATTTCCAGGTAAAGTCTTTCCCCCTTCATAGTCTTTGAAGCTAGTTCCATCGTCGCTGTACTGCACACTGTACGTTTTAACCCAGCAGGAATCACTTTGACCGCCTTGTGTCGCAATGGCTGTAATGATGGTTACTTTGCTCAAGTCAACTTGTATCCACTGTCCTATAGTATTAGATTTAGCTGCCCATCCACCAAGACCACGGATCTCATTCAGTCTAGCAAAAGATGGAAGATATCTTGAATCGAAATGTGACGATGCGGTTATTTTTGAATCATGGATGGCTTTACTTTCCATACCAAGTGCTTCATTGCATCTTCCTGTTTGAATAAACATTTAAAAATTGAATAATTTGTGTCAAGACAGGGGAGAGAGAAAAAAGTTGCGGCGATGAACGTATAAAAATCGGGTTTCGATGTTCAAATTTTAAAATGAAATTTGTTTCAAAATTTCTCAAACTCGTCTTTGTCAATTTTACTTTTCCTACCAGTAAAACAATTGAGAACAAAAGTCTATTGTTTAAAAAGCAAGTGAAAACAAACTTGGTAAGAAAACCAGTAAAATTCATTTTGAGGTTACATCAAATAGTCAAAGCACATTGAATCAAACAAGTCATCAAAACACTAAAATCGCTTGTTTACGGAGCTTTTTTTAATGTTTTACGAAATAGTTGGATATAAAATTAATAAAGACCTTATGGATGAAAACACGTCGGCTAAAATTTCTTTTTTTAAAATAATTTTTCATCATCGGACATTATCTCACTGAATTGGATCTCATTGGAATTTGTGTTATATGTCAGAAAGTACGATTTCAGTAAAAAAATATCAGCGTTGGTAGATGATACGCAAAACACATCCCACGCGCGAACCAAACAGATTGCCCTAAATTAAGGTTACTTTCAACTAACGGCGAGTGAAATTTGTCTTTATTTAACTCGCTCACTCCGCATCAAAAATGCTCTTATATTTGTGACTTTTATATATGACTGTAATAGTTAAATTATTATCATTTCTAATGGTGTACTCGAGGATTTAATCTGATGACGCGATGGCCAACACCAGCCAATATTAAAACAGTAATCTCAAAATCGTTTGCCTTTCTGTGCGCGCAAAAATCCATCGATTTTTCCCAAATTTATAAGTCTTAAACATTAATTATTTTGTAGCTAATTTATGCAAAATATACAAGAATGCAGTAAACCGAAGCTTGTCCGATCTGCCGAAGACAGTCGAATATGAATTCATTAACCGGGAAACAACTTATAGATTTCGATGCAAACTTGGACATCTCTTAAGGATGTACTGACGTATCCGTTTCTAGACGACCCGGTTGCTATGCTAGCTGATGCTAGCCAATCGGAGAAGAGGGTGCGCGCGCGTTTTCATGGCGGGAAAAGTTTTACTTCCGGTGGAAAGGTTTTTATTTACATAAAATGTATGTTACCATTTAAAAAATATAATCTTCGGTGCGAAACATCAAATGGACGTGTTTTTTCAATATTTATGTTCTTCACAGCCTCCTCTTCAGAAACAAGCATGGATTTGGCGAAAAATTAAAAGAATACGAAAGTTATTGGCATTTTTCGCTTATTTGTGGCATTTAAAAAATCATAAAAAGCTTATTTGGAAATCATTCTAAAAACGCATGCTTGGCTTTACGGACTTAGATCTAAAAATTAATTTCATTCATTTTTTAAAAATCGTTTAATATACTTTGCTTGATGAAATTATAGCATTTTTCCGTATTAATGACGTCACGCGATGACGTCATACGATGACGTCATGGAATGTGTTATTTTTGTTTCGGAAGGCTTAATACTCAATACGAAAGCGATTTTACTTTTGTTTGTCATTTTACAGAACTGCTGAATTTCCCTAGCAACAGATATGTCAGTACACCCTTAATTTGACTTTGGTATATTGAAACGAAATACCTTTGAAGTTGCACAGATAGCCAGAGCATAGTCATAGAACCAAGCTCTTTGGAGAATACAACAGTTTTCATAATTTCAAGTGTTTTATAGGTGGAAAGTAACATTTTATTATTATAATGATTTTGCAAAATTTCAAGCGCTTTTAGTGCTATATCTAAATTGAATATACATGGCTTTCATAATACCTAGAGTTTTGAAATTCCCGCAGCAAAACAAGTGTGAATTGAATTTTTATCCCTGTAAATATGAAAGTCATCGGATGTATAGGAGTATAGCTGTCGTTTTGAAAACTTTTTTTCTTGAATGTTTTATTTACACTGTTTTTTAAGTGCGTTTTCGAATCGGCTTTGTAGCGAAATTCTCAGTCAACGGATTGGTGTAATTTTTTAAAGTGTACCAATTCTTAAATATGGCTTGAAGAAAAGAAATTCAAAAATCAAAAAAGCGGTGTGTATTTGAGACGATTTTAATTTTTAATTTAATACTTTAGTTTAAAAACTTCAGAATATAGCTTCTTGTGTTTTCTATAGCGATTCCCAGGGGGACTGGTTACAATAAGCGTGACGTAGCATCCGTCAGATGTTTTTTTTTTTTTTTTTTTTTTTTTTTTTTTTGCGCACATTGTTGCTAATGAGAACTTGGTAACATAATTCATGCGAATATCAATTCCTGAGTTTCGTTTTTTTAAATGTCAGATTCAAACCTGAATGACGGAATTTCGCTAGTATTTCTCTGCAAATTTCGAGACTGATCTGACAGAATCCAGTCTCTCTAGGACTTTCCCGATACAAAAAGCACAATCGCCTCAAGAACACACATATAAAAATTCCTTTATTTGCACTTCAATAAGGCTTTTAAATTTGAGGAAAATCGATGGATTTTTGCGCGCACGGAAAGGCAAACAATTTTGAGATCACTGTTTGAATATTGGCTGTCTTATGATTTTCTTCGAGCTATTTCCCTTATGATATTCTTCTAGCTATTCCCCTCGATATCTTTTACCTTTCTCGCAGTTTTCTCCATCAAATCCCTCACGACACTCGCAGTGGTAATGCTGCCTGTTTTCCTGGAAGACGCACTTGCCACCATTACGACAAGGGGTTTCTTGGCATGGATTCTAACACGAGAAAATAGCAATTAAAATTGTATCGTAATGTTATACGAGGTTACAATTCAGAGAAGCGTCAATCAAATAAAAATCAGAAAAAAAACAGAATCAGAAACATCTTTATTACTGCATCTTATACAAGTCGAGTTTTGATGGACAAAATCAGGAAAATTCGGTACAAAACCTGTTCTTTTTCAAACACTCTTTTTTCGTTAAAACTATAGTTAATCAATAAGTACACTCTTCACCATTCAGTGACACCAAACGTAAACGTTGTGCGTCTGATGGTCATTTTAGATGGACAAATTAAAAAATTTTATGCCATATTGTAATATTCTATCTATTTTTACTAAATAATGCTTTTGTACCCAAGACACGAAATATCACTAATACATCCGAATCAATAATAACCTCAGAAATTGATTTTGAAGTATTTTCATACCTTCACACTATAATGGTTGTACGCCTCGTTAGGTCCCATGTACTGTTTCCCAGCGAACTGTTCAGATGAAAGCAGTTGACACACGTGAAGACCGTTCGATCGAGGAGCGATTTTGAAATTGATCGAACGGCACCAATGGACACCCATGCATTCGAACACGCAGTCCATGTTATCTTTGACATACTTGGTCTTTTTCATTGCTCCCTTTGGAAGGGTAAGCTTTTGAGTAGGATAAAGTTCAAAAAGAAGACCTTTTTCCCTGTCGTAGTTTGGAGGGTAAGCCGAATGGCAAGAAATGATGTCTAAGACATTCAAAAGAAACGCGAGAGAGGCTGATAGCTTTAGGAAAAAAGACATAGTGGCTTACTGTTCAAAGAGCTGTTTAGAATGCTCGAAGCTAGACTTGTGTAAGAGTCTATAACGGATTGGGAGTAGTGAAAGGTGACAGCTGGATGTGTCAAAGAAACCCTGTCTCTCCAACCCCTGTGGAATTAATACATTATTGTACTGGATTTTTGTATTGTCTAAACCGTAAAACCCTATGCAATTGTGGCGAATCTTGCCGTGCAGTTTAATAGTCACGAGAAATTCGTTCTTATTTGCACGAGCCCGATACATTTTGAGCAGGAAAAAGTCAAACAAGGCCCTTTTTCCTGTCGTAGTTTGGAGGGTAAACCTAATGACAAAGAACTGTTTATAGTACAATTAACAAAATGATACTTTTTCATTGGTATGAGGAATGCAATATTACAGCTCGTGCAATTGCGACGAACTTTCATAACATTACTCGTGACTATTCAGATTCCAAATTGTACTCAAGATTGTGCAATTTCCTATGCTAAAAAGTAATATGACTCAAATAAAATCATTGTGAATTCTTGTCATGGCACAGACCAAAATTGAAAATAGGCAAATTACCAATGTCTACTCATACCAATAATACTACATGTATAAGGGGGTCTGAATCGGCCTTCGATCCTTCGGCCTGGACACGGTAAAAAGTAAATTAGATCATTTAGTTGATCAGACAGCCATTGTTAGAGGGTCCCAATGGGGTCAACCTTTACGTAGGCAAAAAATGTAGCCCAGAATTGATCAAATCGCTCGTTTTGAATGACTGAAGATGTGTCAACGCTTAGTGCTCGCTTATTTCTAAAACTAATTGTAGATTGCTTGAATTATTATTTCTTGGAGACTTTGCTCTTCTTCACTGCTCCTTGTCAGTATAGCAAGTAATGAGCAGAATAAATAGCCGTTTTTTTTAGTTTTCCAGCTGTAGGCAGTTGCTTAATTAGTAGGGACTTTAAGATATGACGACTACDGACTACAGACTACGCTTGGACGCGTATTTAGTTCGTTTGAAGACTGGGTCGAGTACATAACAAGTGGCGCGAAAAACAAGATGTTAAGATCTCACACTACAAGCAACAGACTACATAGAGCGGCCATATTGTTTACTTTTGTTAAAATTGTAAAATGTCTTTTGAAAACGTTCGTGATGCTCTTGTTTACAGTTTTGCAGATGCATATATAGATGAAGAAGAATTTTTGCTTTTGTACGATGCTTATAGTTCTGTAAATCCGAAATATCCGTACTGGGAATATGATGATTTCGACCTCGATTCTCTCGACTCAAGCGAATGCATATCGGATTTTAGAGTGGATAAGAACGATATTCCTCTACTAGCTGATGTTCTTGGAGTCCCCCAAGTATTCAAATGTCCTCAAGGAACTATTTGTAGTGGACTTGAAGGTTTGTGTCTTCTTTTAAAACGCCTGGCATATCCGTGCCGGTACTATGACTTGATTCATCGTTTTGCTCGCCCTGT